CGCGGTGGGGGTGTTCAGACTGGACTCACTCCCTGCTGTGTATCCCCAGTTTATCCTCTGTAGGGGTATTTTCGGCTTTCAGTCAAAATTCATTTGACACCAGCAATGAAATCCCTGTTCCACGTCCTCTTATAACTCCTGCTTGAACCTCCGGCAGCTCCCAGTCAATGTCTTGGTGATGATCTTTAAGCAAAATTTTATTTACATGTTGCTACTAGTGATAAAATTTGTGCATTCTGTTGGGGCATTTTTCTGTCTTTAGAAAAAAAATCATTTTATTGGGGACTCTTACAGCTCTTATCACAATCCATCCATCCATCCATTGTGTCAAGCACATTTGTACATATGTTGCCATCATCATTTCAAAATATTTTCTTTCGACTTGAGCCCTTGGTATCAGCTCATTTTCCCCCCTCCCTGGGTCATTTTTCTTTGGAATGGTTATAAATACGGATCTCTACTGGTCACCTGGCCACTGTCTTCCACATTTTCTGGCATAGTCAAGTGGGTGTTTCCAGTGCTACGTGAGCTTGTTCAAACATTTTGATTGGTATTCCATCAATTCCTATAGCCTTGTTTGTGGCTAAAGCTTTCAGTGGTTTGGACTTCTTCCTTCAGAACCATTTGTTCTTGCTCATATGCTATCTTCTGAAATGGGACGTGGACTGAAATGGGATGTGGACTAGTTCTTTTTGGTACAGTGACTCGGTGTATTCTATCTTCTTTTGATGCTTCCTGTATCATTTAATATTTTGTCCATAGAATCTTTCAAAATTGCAACTTGGGGCTTTTTTTAGTTCTTTCAGTTTAGGATATGCTGAGTGTTCTCTTCCTTTTTTGTTTTTTAAACTCTAGGTCCTTGCATAGTTCATTATATTTTACCTTGTTTTCTGGAGCCACCCTTTGACATTTTCTGTTTAGCTCCTTGACTTCATCTTTTGTTCCATTTGCTGAGTTGTTGTTAGGTGTCAGGGACTTGGTCCAACCCCTAATTACCTTATGCACAACAAAACAAAACAATGCACAGTCCTGTGGCATCTTCCCCGTCGTTCCTATGCCTGAGCCCACTGATGCAGCCATGGTGTCAATCCATCTTGTTGAAGGCCTCTCTCTTTTTCCATGCCCCTGCACTTGATCAAACATGATGTCCTTCACCAGGGACTGGTCTCTCCTGACAATATGTCCAAAGTATGTAAGATGAAGTCTTACCATCCTTTTCTCTAAGGAGCACTCTGGCTGTACTTCTTCCAATATAGATTGATCAGTCCTTTCGGCAGTACGTGGTATTTTCAGTATTATTCTCCAGCACCACAATTCAGATGCATTGATTTTTCTATGGCTTCCTTTATTCAATGTCCATCTTTCACATGAATATGATGCAATGGAAAATACCATGGCTTGGGTCAGACCCACCTTAGTTCTTAAAGTAAAATCCTTGCTCGTCAATACTCTAAAGAGGTCTTGTGCAGCAACTTTACCTAATGCAGTGGTTCTCAACCTGTGGGTCGCAACCCCTTTGGCAGGTCGAACAACCCTTTCACAGGGGGCACCTGATTTTTAACAGTAACAAAATTACAGTTATGAAGTTGCAAGGAAAATCATTTTATGGTTGGGGGTCACTGCAACATGAGGAGCTGTGTAAGAGGGTCGCAGCATTAGGAAGGTTGAGAACCACCGACCTAATGCAATTCATCTTTTGGTCTCTTGACTGCTGTTTCCATGATTGTGGATACATTTGCTGTAGCTACTTGATTAATAGCAAGTTTCAGAGTCCTCTGACATCCACTGTGGCCTTTTATTTCTTTCTTATCTTTTAAATGACCCTTGGCTTTCTTAATGAATGATATTCTTGGTGTCATCAGGTGTCCTTAGTGTTCAGTGCAGCAAATCTGTTCTTCAGATTCAAGTGGGATATACTCATTGTATTTTGGCTCTCATGGATTTAATTTTCTTTAACTTCAACCTGAACTAACATATGAGCACTTGGTGACTTGTTCCACATTCAATTCCTGGCTTAGCTTTAACTATTGGTAGTGAGCTTCTCCACTGCCTCCTCCAACAGATGTAGTCGATTTGAGTTCCGTATGTTTCATCTGGAGAAGTCCACATGTATAGTCACTGTGTTGTCAAGAAAGGGTATCTGTTATGAACAAATTGTTGGTCTTGCAAAACTCTATCTTGCAATCTCCAGCTTTGTTTCTATCAACAAGACAATATTTTCCAACTACAGTTCCTTCTTCTAAATGCCATCACATTAGAGGTGAGTTAATGATATGTCTGACCACATGCAGCAGGCTAATTTTTAGGTTGGTAATCTTGTATGGCCCTAGAATGACCTTATAAATATCCTAATGGTCTTTGGTAGAAAAAAGTCTCCCACTTCTGCCTTAGGCCATTTCTTACTAGTAGTTAATGGAAAAGTACAGCAGCCCAATTGCAACATGACTACCAATGGCCCAGACAGGAAATGGATTGGGTCACCTCACCAGGAAAAGCACCATGACCCGCTTGCTGAGGACAGAGACTGAATGGGTGGTGGAAGAAGGTAACTCTAAATCCCACCTACACCATATGACCAGTCGTAAAAATGAGGAGTGTAATTGATTTTTGTTTTATTATATGTGTATGAGGGTGCTTCAAATTTTGTGGAAAATTGAAAATATAATGGAATTTTCCATGAATTTTTAAGTCCTTTCAAATGTGCACATATGCACAGACACAATGTTTTTGTAATCATCCCTCCCTTATTACTTATGTAAGAAGTACTGGAGCTAGTGCAATTTCAGTTGTATGTTTTTATTACTTTAGATGCAAATATGACTTTTTAATTGCCTTTATTTAGAGAGTATGTATGGTTTGAGGAGATATGCACTAGTAGCAAGTTAACAAAGAGTGGAATGTAATAGTTAAATGTTGTGTGTCAACAGATTAGGTTACGGTTCTAAGTGGTTTGATGGTCATTGACGGATTGCTTTTCCATTATATAATCATTTCTATAATGTGATCTGGGGTAAGCAGCCAATTAGTTGTAAAAGGAGTATTCTTGGGGTACATCCCTAATATGTAAAGACATTCTGACAAAGCTTGTTTGCTTGCTCTTGATCCTGCATCTAACTCATCTGACCTCCAGCTCTTAGAAAGGGGAGCCAGCAGTTGATCTCTACGTACATGCTGAGATTTGCCAGTTCCTACAGCCCTGTGAGCCAGCAACTTGTCCAGGGTGGGTCTGCCAACCCTCTCAGCCATGTGAGTCGGGTGGTCTCTAGCTGAGACCCATGGATATGTGGCTTGCCATCCTCCACAACTGCATGAGCCATTTCCTCTCTGTGTATATTAAAGGGCTTTAAAAAACGAAATTAAAAGAAAATTTCTATAAAATCCCTTCCATGAACACTTGACTGGTTTTACTTTGCTAGAGAGCCAAATTAAAGGCATACACCTGACATAAACCTGTCGGGGGAGGGAGAGTAAATGAATTTGTTTATACATGTACAAAAACAATTATGTATCTGAGAAGACACTTAATACACGTTGTATTTAACTTTGGAAGATACTTGACACTTCTGACATTGATTTAATTATGCATTGAATAAGCAAGACTTTAAAAATAAATTCCTGTATTTTGATGCAAATTCCCATTACACATTGCAGTTGGAGGTGGGGATGGGAAAAGTCATGCTAATAGATTTTTGGGCTTTGGGTCTTCAACCGTTTTTTTAAAAGTGTTGAACAGATGATTTCTAAGGAATTTTCTAGCTTCACATTGTATGGATGAGCACCACCATTATCAATATGTCTTGCATATGGGAAATCCAGTTGTCACCGTTTAGATTTCAGTTAAATTTCTTTGCAAGCCATGTTCTTTTTGGACCTTAAGAGCTGGGAATCTGGAGATAGGAGGTCAATTTCACAAGCCAACTTTTCAGAGCCCATTTTCCCCCCTTGAATAATATTTAATATTTTAATAAGAGAAAGCCACTCTCCTCTATCCTCTGCTTCCTATGCCACAACAATCCAAATCCTTATTATTCAGCTCTCCCTTCCCAAGTTTTTCCTTTTCAACCCAAAACACCTATCAGTGTGATGTTCTGCTGATCACGTTACGTCCTTTCATGTACACTGGCTTTTAAAATATGCAAATAGACATTTGTGTATACTGCTCTTAGACATATAAATTGGTACAATCTTTGAGAGCAAATTGGCAATATACACAAGGGCTTCAAAAAGTTCATCTGAGTATGAAATGAATAAATAATGGAACTCGTCAAGAAAGAACTCTTTGAAGCCCTTGCCTACAACAAAGTCTTGAAGGTGTGTATGAATTTTGAAGGCCTGTTTTCACTTTAGGAATATAACCTAAGGGATTAACAAAGTCATGGTGGAAAGATGAATGCATTTATGTTAACAGATATTCAACATAAAATAATGGCTAACTAAAATGCCTAACTTCAGGGGATTCACGGAATAAATGGTCCCATACAGTACTTCATTTGGTAAGGTATCTGTCACCTTCAATAAAGAAAGGTGGTCATTTATATCAAATTATGAATTTCTGTAAATAAAGGTATACAGAGAAAAATACACCAGGATACAACACAAAGTAACTGTGGTAAATTTGTCTTCAATGGTACATGATTTCCACCCCACTATTTTCTAACTTCTGACAATAACTATGAATTATTTCCCTAACAAAGTAGCTGTGTCACCAGTTAATATGCCGATTTATTTCCTCTCAGAATCCTTGACATACTTAGTTTGATCTGGAAAAATCATGAATCCATGGAGCTATTTAATTCCTCAGATACTACATTGGACATACTCAACTCCCCTTAGAGGTTTGGAACCTTAAAGGAAAAATTATGTATTGAGATAGAACAATGAAGTGACAAAACAATTTTTTGGTGTGTTTTGTTTTTTGTTTGAAAAGTCAAATCATAGGTCTTTATACTATTTAAGTAGTGGCTTCTTATTTTAAACTATGACGAGCCAAGGAGACAAGATACTGCAGCAAACCATTTTAATAAGAATACAAAATTCACACCAGAGGCACATTCTGGGGAATGTAGATGAACTATCACAAGAATAAAAGAAGGCTCTCCGAGTACAAATATACAGGAAGGAATGGTTTAAAATAGGATTATGGTTTACAATCACATTACATTGTATTAAGCACTGAAAAGACATATTAATTAAAAAGAAAGCAAAAAGGCATCCGAACATATATAACAAATCTTACAATGCACAAAATGTGTAACGGTAATTTTAAGCAATTCATTTCAACACAAAAGAAATGAATCGGTGAAGTGATAACTCTCAAAGTATTATGTCTGTGACAAAAATTAAGAGAACTTTACATTTAATAAAGATTACCTTACTGCTAGGACCACACAGTGGACAAGCCAACCACAGACCACATCATCAACAGTGCCCTGCAACTGAAGCAGGGCTGGCCTTTCCAACCTCTTACTGTCCTGTTCCCGCCACACCCTACACTAACTACCCTTTCATTCCAACACGGAGAGACTCATCCCACGCACCATTCCTCAAAAGGAATTCAGGCGATCCAAAGCAAACCCAACCGTTGATTTCACCATGAACTTCAAAGGCGGCTTAATGAGTACAAAGAACCCCCAATTCATACACGGCGTTCCTTTCCAAGGGAGGAACAGACACATCACACATTATCTGAAAGGTTTTTATTTATGGGCTATGTACACTGGTTGGACAAGAATTACTGCTATCTGAGAAGGCACATATCTGTGATTTAAGGCTTAAATGGTATTGTTACATATAGAAGTCAGTAAAAGCTGTCTAGGAATTCACTTCTATCAAAATGGAATCTATCCCAAAACTAACTAAGCTCAGATTTCTACTAGAAACTGTCAAGAATTTCAATTCCTAAGTCCACCTATCAAAAAAATTATCTTAAGAAGGTTTCATTATGAATCAAAAGAAATTGCTAACGTAACTGCCCAATGACTTTGGCAATGCAGATGCATTAAGCTTAAAAATCTCACAAAATGATAGTGTGATTCTCGTGTCTTAAAAAAGTTTAAACACACCTACAATTTATTTTTAAAAAGGTATTTGCCACAACTCCACAAATCAACCAGTCATTTATGAGAGCTGCAGTCTGTGTGTGGAAGCTGCAGGGACACCATCGTTTCACTCTGCAAAACAGTTTCTTTTTTTCTTCTTCAAGATAACACATGAACATGAATCTCTTAAAGATGTTTAATATACTCATATACAAAATATCTGATGTTGAAACAAATCATGTAAACCTCCCTTTGGAAAAGTCTCAAGGGGCCCTTATTTCCAGGACCCAAAACCTCAAATTTTTATCTTGTCAGTGCAAATCTATATTAGATGTTTTCAAACTACAGAAATAGCCATTAACCCTCACCATACAAAAGGATTTCTCAAAAAGAAAAATTATTGTGTCCCGATTATAGAAATTATGCTGACATCAAAGCCACTCACACCCCCCTCCAATTTAACAGTTTGATTGTTACAGTATGAAAAAGGGGGAAATTAAAGCTGTTTGTGCAATGGTTGTCACCCACGCCCCTTCTCCCCACTCGGCTGAGTTCTTCTCAGGTGTGTTTGGAAATCTAACAGCTCGGCTTTCCCCGCAGGTGTGACTACTGCTCTTCAAGCCAAGATGGAGCGTCCACGCCCGGAGTTTTCAACTTGATGTGGAACTGCTTAAGTGTCTGTTCTAGCTGCTTCTGGTTCCCGGCAAAGTAAGCGGCAATGGCGTTGTGGAACAGGACCAGCTGATTGTGCAACACCTTCACCTGTGCAGAGAGCAGAGTTACACGCCGCGTCATTTTGGTTTACCCATTCAAGGCATGTTACACATCGCGAGAAATGAAGGTTTAAAATGTGTAATGATGTGAACATGTCTGAAATGTGCTAAGTGAAACAGGGCATAACACGTTCTATATGGCATGGCAGCTGTGGTCATTATATCACGCACATTCTTTCTGGTGATTTCTTCCTCTAACTCAATAAAGGAAACGATAGAAATACAATTATATTAGCTAGTTTTTAGTTGCACAGACATTATTTTAAAAAATTTAAAAATCACATCCCTAAAGCTTGCTCAAAATGATAAAATTCGAGTACTAAAGAGCAGAATGAAAAGAGTAAACGTCTCCCGATCTCGCCATACACATGCCCCAGCCCACTCATGTGCAATGTGAATTTTAAAATCCCCAGGTCAAAATCCACGCTTGTCAGAGAAAAATTGACACTTTCTCCTGAAAGAACTTTAATTACAGAACAAGCCTCCAGAAGATGGGACCGAGAAGTATGAAACAGAATAACATCTAAGAGGTTGATTGAAAGTAAAATTTCAAAACCAAGTTATGAAAATGTATCGCTTGTTCTCACTCTATTTTTAAAAACATGCACACACCCATGCCCACTGGCCCAGAAAACACCGTGGAAGAAAACACCGTGGAAGGCAGTTCTCCATTTGAAAGGAATACAAGGTAGCAGTCGTGGGGACAACCACTTGCTATGAGAGGGTGTCAACAGCCCATGGCAAAAGCCCATGATGTTTTCATTCCATTTTCCCCTCAGCTTTTCAAAGCCCCTTCATATTTCTGAACTTCAGTGTTCTCATCTGGAGCATGGGGACACTGACAGTACCTTTAGATGACTGGAGGTATCTATGGTTACTGAGTAGGTTCTGACTCACATCAACATACCACTTCCAAGACTAAATCTTGATGGGGGCAGACAGTCTCATCCCTCCTGCTCACCTTGTGGTTGGCAGGCTAATGCCTAACTCACAGTGCCATGGGGGAGGAGGGGGGCAGCGAATGTGACTTTTGAAACACTGCCTACTAAGTGCACAGTGAACTTGCCGGAAGATTGAAGTCACAGTCAGGGACAGTGAAGAGAGGGCTGTAGGTCCCGGGGAGGGAGGTCTGGCAGTGGGTGCAGTGAGGAGCAGCTCTGGTGGTGCAGGGACCCGCACTCGGCTGCTGACTGAAGATCGGCAGTGCCCACAATGCAGCAGTCACACTTTCTGCAGGAGAAAGCTGTGGCCGCGCTTCCGCAGTGCTGACAGCCAGGAAACTCTAGGGGGAGGTCCTCCTCTGTCCTACAGTGTCACTGTGAGTTGACACTTACGTGACAGCAGTGGGCTTACAGTGAGTAGTACACATATTTTGGTAGAAGAGCTAACAGTAGGCTTCTCCCTCACCCAAAACTTTGATTTATATTACATACCATAAAACATGTACATAGTAACTGCACAGCGTGGTAATCATTTCCTTTCCAAGAATTAATACCAGGCTAGTCCCAAGGAGCTGGAGAGCGAAGATGTCCCACTTGTCCGACTCTGCTCTGCTCCCCTCTGCTCCCACTCCTTCTTGAGCATACTCCCTCACGTCCCTGGGTTCGGGGACTGGCTGCAATGTCCCACAGAACTTGGGAAAATTTGAGGAAATATTTCACATGGTGGGTGCTGCTCTTCAGTCCCAAATCTGAGGGAGGGTCAGGCAGAGGTGAGCCAACTGCAGGGTCCAGCGTCAGAGTAAAAAATGTCCACAAGTCACAGCAGGTCTTCTTGTTTCTACCAAAGCTCAGCCAGGAAGTAGAGCTCTGGCTTTCCAGGGGATGTGACTGTGTGAGAAGTGTTCAGTGGCACCAGCATCTACACCTCATCCAAGGAAAACAAAGGATGGCGCCTGAGTCACACCCTCTACTGAAGTAGACTTTAAATATGTCCTCCTGGAAACAAACGTGTGGCTGGGTTCACACCCTCTATAGCCTTTTAATACAGTCCCTCATGTTGTGGTGACCCCCGACCATAAAATTATTTTTGTTGCTACCTCATAACTGTAATTTTGCTACTGTTATTAATCGGGTGACCTTTGTGAAAGGGTCATTCGACCCCCAAAGGGGTCTCAACCCACAGGTTGAGAACCACTGCTCTTTATGGTCTGGTCTTAATCCCACACTAATCCTATCCATCAGGACAACAGAGAATGCCCTGGAGTAGAGGCGGAAAATCCATCTGCTTCCTTGTGTGTGTGTGTATACACACACACACACACCCCGATCTTTATATATTTACATATATATGAATTTATATTGGTGCCTATATATATAATTTTTTACTTCCTTCTTTTTCTTTCCTCCTGCCTCACTATTATGTTTACTCATAGTTTATCTCTCAGTAATTTCTCTCAGATACATTGCAATTGATCAGACAGTCAGGAATGTGATACCTTCCTCACTGTCAATTTTAGAACCCTTACTCTTCCCCTGTCCCTGTCATTATTGGCTCACTGCTCACCCTTCCCCACTCCCCGCTCCTCCCCTGCCATTCCCTCCTGGAACCCTTGGTCCCATCGCTGTCTCCTTGGGATTGCTTCTCCTGCCTGTCTTGTATAGACAGACATGGAAAGAAAAAATAAAAAAAGACCATACAAATCATTCCAAGTCTAACTGTTATCCTGACCCAGAGTAAATGAGTATCTTTCTCTAATAATTTGGTATTCTGTGATGCCCACCTTCCCAACATGATTGCTGAAGAAAAAATGGGTGCATAAGCAAATGTGTTGAAGAAAGCTGATGGTGCCCAGCTATTAAAAATTATAGCATCTGAGGTCTTAAAGGCTTGAAGTTAAACAATCGGACATGTAGCAGGGAAGCAACAAAGCCCATATAGAAGAAGCACACCAGCCTCTGTGATCATGAGGTGTTGACGGGAAGAGGTATCAGAAGTTCAAAAACAAGCAATCAAATTGATGTGACGGAGTGTGGACAAAGGGAAGACCCAAAACCCACCTATAAGATAATTTGGACAGTCTCTCACAGAAGGGCCACATGGAAGGGATGACATATCCATGGTGTGATATAGCACAGATGAAACACATAACATAACTATCCTCTAGTTCTTTAATATTTCCTCCGCTTACTATTATAGTCTTTGTTTTACCTCATTAATCTTGTTAGACCTGTGGTACATTCATTTACATAATTGAGATCACTCAATGCATGAGAGCCAAGATAGATAACCCTTCAGAAACAGTAAGGGGAGTAATGATTAATTGAGGGTAATGAGAAGGCTAGGGGAGCTGATAGTAATGATTGTATAAACCCACTCGAGGGGTACAAATGACAGAATTGTAAGTGAACAGATACACTGAATGGTGTAAGATATGGCAAATTTTACATTTATATATATATTGTGTTAGTCTGGGTAGACTAGACAAACAAATTCATAGACACTCATATGTGTACAAGAGAGACCTTGATATCAAAGAGTAATTATATATTAAGAAAACATCCCAGTCCAGTCCAGATCGAGTCCTTAAGCCCGATATTAGTCCCTATGTCTGATACCAGTCTATAATTCCCTCTTTAGACTCACACAACACATGCAATGACACCGAATACAGGAAGATCACAGACCAGTGGGTGGAAAGTCTTGTGGATGTGGTGGCAGTGGAAACATCTCAGTGCTGGCGTGGGTCTCTGGTTCCATCAGTGCAGCTCTGTGTGGCTTGTCAACAAGAATGTCTCACAGGGAAAGGGTGTATCTGGCCTCCAGTGAGCTATTTATCTCCATGGCACCTCCAAATGAGGTCATCAAGCTGCGACCTGATTGACAGGCTAGACTCCAGCCCTTCACAAGTCGACAGGAGATTATGTAACTGGCACCCACAACAACAATAACAACTAATAAGAAGGGTTCCTGGAGGGGAGGGCAGGGAGGGGACAAAGGGGAGCTGATATCAAAGAATTCAAGAAGAGAACATTTTTAAATGTTTGATGGTTTTGAATGTTGATGGTTACAGCAATTGTACAATTATGCTAATCTAATTTAATTATGGACTGTTATAATATCTGTAAGAGCTCCTAATAAAAAAAAAAAAAAGATGCCCTCCATAAGGACTATAGCCATGGGCATATCAAGCCCAGAAGGATAACATGTAAGGAATTACGGCTAGAAGGGCGATATTAATTGACTAATTCACATAGTTTGGTAAATACATGTACCTATGCACAGATACGTGTCACTTAAAGTCTGGTCAATGTCCAACTCATATATGCCGATGGGTCCATCAAGTTGACTTATAAAATGGAAGCTGCTCTGCCTTTGTTGATTTTACCCTCGTAAGTTTTAAAGACCTCCCAACCCAGAGTCTTATAAGCACATGGCTTTGGGAATGGGGGCTTCGTTCCTGGGCTGCCCCTGCTGTGCAGGTGCACAATGCTCCCGGTGGCTTCCCGCTCCATGGGCAGCAGTTCCTCAGGCCCCTCACTGCAGCAGTGACGAGCTTTTAATATGGCTGTTTGCACATCATCCAAATACTATCATGCCCTATTTCACACACTGTCTCATAGACGTTAAACAATGCACACTTATAGAGAACATTTCTACCATCCTCATCCTCGAGAGTTACGTAAGGAGCCCCAGTGGCACTGCCAGGTAAGCTCCGGGCTGCTCCGAGGTAGGTAGTTCAAACCAACTAGCTGCTCTGAAGGAAAAGACGAGGCAGTCTGCTCCTGTGAGGATTTAGGGCCTCAGAAACCCTATTGAGGGTCAATATGAGTTGGACACAATTTGATGGCAGTGGGTCAGTTACTTGGCAAACCCTCTGCAGTGAATTCCCTCCTCTAACCTCCAGCCCTAGGTGGGTACTGATTAACGTTGTCACTATAGATTATGCTCTTTTATAACCTCTAAAAACTCACTCACTGTCATCGAGTAATTTCTGATTCACATTGAACCAAGAGATCAGGGTAGAACCACCCCTGTGGGTTTCTGAGG